GTTTGCTGGTTCTTTCTTTTTCTCAGTTTCTGCATACATTGTTATAAATTTTATGAACTTTCACAGTGTGTTTCGTAGCCTTGTTGTGCGCGTTATCACTAGCAGGTCACGAACCATATGTTTTTCCAAACAACTGAACAGCTGTTCTTGGTTTCTTTTTATTGTTTTTTTTTTTTTTTTTTGATAATCTGCCATTTAAGCATATGTGTGGAGACTACAAAAGCATGATATGGTTCGTTATCAACTCAGCAGGTCACAGCAGATTGTCAACGACAAAATTTTTAAAAACTTAACGTAATTAAAAAAAAAAAGTATTAAATGTGTAAGAAAATATAATCACAAGATTTTTGCGTGGTGTTGTGCAAAATAAGCAAAGGGTATAAAAAAATTTTTTTTCATTAGGTTCGTAGCGCATTTGAGGGATAGGGAAGACCCGTTTCTAATTCGACGTCCTCAAATCAAGGTACAGGTCCTTACTTAAGTAAAGAGTTGTCCAGTATAGCCATGAAAATGTATACAATATATGCTTGCTGAAATGGACGCAGAATCAACTGTTTTCGGGGGCGAAGCTAAAACCAGCAGCAATCCAACCGATATCCAAAGAGAAGAAAAAAAACTAGACAAAACTCATTTAAAAATATATAATCATTTCAAAATGTTAACTTCAAAAATCTTAAAGACGTAAGCGAGCCCTGCATATCAGTTGATTTTTCCAATGGTTTATACGACGAAAGCAACGTTACCATTGCTTTAAATAAATACTTTTCTACATATTGATTATATTTAGTTCTTTCCATACTGCGCAATAATGTTACTTTGCAGCCAATTTGTCCCATACATTTTTCACGTGTTGTGAATTTGTCAAACTTGTTTTATTTTTCTTAATATTTGGATTGTTTTTTGCCAAATGCCAAATAATCATTTAATTGCTCCTGGGTTATGTTAAAATTACGCATTAATAGTGTACTTTATATTTTGCAAAGATAATTTCTTCCTTTGCAAAGCCGTATATTTTCATTTCAAGCTTCAACCTGGTGGTTTTCATAAATTAACAGCCCTGTTTTAGCGCAAAATTGTTATTGGGGAATTTCGCTGTCCATTTTAGTTTAAAATGCGAAATGTGAAGCAAAGTGACAACAACTACGGCAGGGGGCAAACACAACCGTAAATTTTATGATAATTAAAAGATAACTACGCCAGAATAATGTTGTTAGAATTTTTAGATGGTGTTATTTTAGTACTTTATCCAGATTACTACGATGCAGCAGTCTGGCCTGTCTCTTTTATTTTATTTTTTTTTTTTTAGGTAGGAGGAAAAATGTCTAATTGTTCAAAAAAATCTAGGCGGCACGTTCTAATATAAATATAAGTAAGCTACAGCGTTCAAGCCTAATGATAAAAATTTTAAACCAACGTTTTTAGTGGAATTATTTTAAGTTATTTAAATTTTATTGTCATTTACATTCAATAATTTACATATGTTTTAATGATTTTTCAATATTTTGATTATTTACATATAATTTGTTGTACCCTGCAATACTTGTGATACAAGTTTATATTAAGTTTGTGCAGAAAGAAGAAAGGTTTGGTTGCAGTCGAATATAATTTTCCTGCGTGTTCTAGTTGGAATTAATTGTTATTTTACAGCTATTTCCCTCAACTTGCCATGATGTGACAATTACTTATAGATAATAATATGCATAAATATAACTTGGGTAAGAATACAATTTCGGATTTTCATTGCTTATCAATATTTTGTTTTGCAATATTACTGGTGAGTTTTTCATTGCATATTCGTAATGCATTTGGGTCTTATTACCGAATTTCGTTTTATCGAGTTAGGGGATCATTGCTTTTGAGAGTTTTCCCAATTAAATTGCTGTGCAAAGTGCGAAATAAATGACTTACTGAGTTATCCTACATTGTCATCGGCGATGATAATACCCTTCAGATTTGAAAGTTTTATTAGTTTGATTTTCAATTGTTTCCTTTTTTGTCAAAAATTGTCCACATAAAATATTCTAAACTTATCGTGTTTAAAACCTTTGGTGTGCTTTCTTTCACACACTCATTAGAATCATTTTAAACATTATTAAAGATGATTCACTATTCATTTCCAATGATAATTGTTTTTCCCTATTCCAAAAAAAAATATATATATATTGCGCATTGTATCCCAAGCCATTATCTACAACAACAACTATTCACAACTCGCTTGTAATCTGATACAAATGTGACAGATATTAGATGATCAATGTAAAAAACCATAACAGAATTCTTTAAAATGAAATTGCAATGCTATCTGCGCGCCAACTCACTATATTGTTATCATTTTTATTATTATGCATAAATTTTAAAGAATATCCACAGTCAGAACACCGTTGTACTTCGAAAACCGGTCATAGTGGCAAAGCGAAGAGATCTGAATATGAAAGAAGATGAAAGAATATATTAACAGAAGATACTCTCATAGAATATAGAACAACACAATAGTAAGAACGCGTTCTAGAAACTTTCACACATTTTTAAGTTTTACGAGGTGCATTTTTTAAAATCGCCTGCACTGTGCTGCTAAGTTCTCAAAGTAAAAGCATCACTGCAACTAGGTACGTTTGAGTTTGTAAATATACGTGCTTATGCTGTGGACGCGAGGACAATGCAGCATTTAATAACATACGTGGTGGACTCCGTGGTGTTAATATAAACTACCACGAGTGTGAATTTAAATTTGGATTGCAACATAGATGCTTGAAGCTCTGCTTGATGAAATCATACTAGAAAATGTTATACTTTATGTATTACGTATATATTAGCCTAGGTACGAATTTCAAAAAAGTCTTAAAAATAATTCCTGAAGAGAACATTTGCTTTTTTTTATGCACATCCGCCAGATATGCTAAAACGGTGATACTGTGCTCGTTTGCTCATTGATATTTGTCATTTGCCGAAAAATATTAGGGATAAGCGAAAAAAAGAAACTCATTACTGAAACATTATAAGTAAGAAAATTATATCCGGTCGTGAATGAATCTTTTGCACTCGTCACCGTTATCCTAAAAAAGATAAAAAAAAAGTAGAAGAACAACATTTTCATCCTCTATAACATGGAGTGGGCGCAGCTGCTTTTTCCTATTTTCAAAGCAAAACTTTTTGTTGTATAAGCGTGTGGGCGTTTAAAACGTGTCCTTGAAAAAGTTTAACTCACTTTCAAATTCTTTTGCGAATTTGTAGATGATGTCTTCATTTTTGCGAATGGAAGAATGTTTATCATTTTGAAGCTTGTTTCTGCGCTCAACATGTTGGGAACGCGTGGTCCATATTTTATATTTTTGTGCAGGTGCTACAGTATCGGCCATAGTATATGCGTTCAAATTTTTGTATATATATCTGCTATAGTTTATGAGTAATGAGCAAACAACCAATCTTTTATTCCTTTTGATAAACAAAGGTATTCTCAGTTTACGTGATACTGCAAGTGTATCCACTGACCCATTGGAACAGAGGATGGGTGCATAAACTTCCAATGTTTCTGCCCAAATTTGAAATCGACAGTTTCATATTGTTCGCCTTTTGTAAGGCATTACACAGACGGACAGATGGTCATGTTTAAACCGATTGAGGATTTAATGTTAATCTGGAAAATAGATATACTTTGCCGGATCTGTGAGGTTGCATATGTTTTGAGAAAATGAATATACTCGTTATCCTTGGGTGATGCGTATAAAAATAGCAGAGTTTATGGCACTCGGTATGGTATATCTGCGAGGTCAGCGGAGAGCTTGCATACCAGCAAATTGTTTCTATAGGTCCCTTGCTATATTTCGTCGATATACTTTCTCATCTTCGACTTATTACATTTGCAGTTTCGAATGTTAATTTAAAACCGAAGTAGGCTGAAGTAAAGACGCGATTTTGCGGGATTTCACTTTTTTTCGCATACGTAAATATGCTTATGTAACATATTTATAAAATCAATTTAGTCGCCATTAAGTTTATCATTCTAAAAAAGTGACTAAACAATTCAGTCTGCACTTTTACTTAATTGGTTTATTGGTTTCCTTTTGTGTACATTCCGCTTAAGCATATGCTTCTCCGGCTTTGACATTTATTTCCTATCTCCTAAATGCAGTGTTGACTCTGCTACATATTAACTCTGCCGTATATAGAATGGGATTAATTTTACTTTCACATATTCGCGAGTGTCGGATCTTTTCTCCTCCTTTTCAATTCACTTTTCTAACTGTTCTCTTATGCTCTTATGCTTTCCGTTTTCAATACAACGGATTTGGTTTGTTCAGAGTACACATTATATAAGAGATAGGCCGTGCCGACTGTAGAAATCACATACATTTTCGCACAAAATAGTGAACAACGAATCGATAAAATCAGCTTAAGCATTGGAATTCATTTAGTCATGTCTATGTGCCTGATTGCTGAAGTTATTCCTTTTTATGAGTTTTATACTGAACTTACAAATCTGTCAGCAAAAAATGTAGGTGAAATTTCTGTAATAAGTTCGAAAATTAGGGAAATCGAACGTAGTGATTTGCGCGGAACTTGAGCAAAAGTATTAACTGGACTTAGATAGCATATATATGTAAACGACGGTTCAGCGATTTGAAAATATAGGATGTATTTTCCGTCAATGGGTCTTGGCTCTTTTTTATCAAATAACATTTTATATCGGTTAGCGAGCTAGGTATTAAAAAATTTGAGGAAAAGCTGAAAATTTAATTGAGTCCAATATCCGCTTAGGTGCTGTAGCAAATATTAATCCAGTATTCGAATTGAGTTTTTATTGAAAAGGTCAATTCGAAGGCGATATTTACTCGTCCCTTGAGACAACACGGGTCTAATAGAGTAGGCTATGCTATGCTTGATGTAGCTCCCAGATTAGTATAGCCGTGCTCATCATGTACTTGTTTCATATATTTTGTTTCCACAGAGACTATGTTTCGGCAACAATTTTATAATGATTTCGTTTGTTTATTATATTTCAGGATCCTGCTGGCATATTTGAACTTATCGAAGTTGTCGGCAATGGCACTTATGGTCAAGTTTATAAAGTAAGTTTCCCAATTTAATCATATATTAATTTCAAAAATAATCGCTTTGTCTTATTATTGAATCCTAAGGTGATATTTTTAATTTATTTATTGCGTTGCTTGTCAAAAATATGTCCTTTGGATTCAAATATTTATGGTTTTTTTTTTTTTTTTTTTTGTATGACGAATCCGTTTAGTGAGCTGTATCCTGTATGTAGAGAGAAGTGGAGAAAGATAGGTAGGGATGAGCTCATCATGGGAGTAGGTGTTATGCCTCTATCGACTGAACACTTACCGTAGGTGGGACAACGCTGATCGTAATTAAAGTATGCTTTACGACACTGAGAATTGAAGTAAGTGATATAATCCTGATCTGATAGTAGCACTTCTTAACTGTTTGGTTATGTGACAACTGAAGGGCAGAAGGGATATTTCGTCTTTCGATTTCATACAATTACAAATCGAAAACGTCAATTTTTATACTCATAGCACACGATGTATTAATTTTATATACATATGTATATATAGAGTCCTTGTTGTCTACCGTTGCCCAAACGTAGCACATCAAATTCATATCCCAATTTTCATTTTAAAATACTGAATATTAAACCACTTCTGTGGTCAAAAAAATTCACGCATTCAGTCAAATTTTCCATGAATTTATTTAATATGCCAAAATGCTACATTCTACCTTTTTCTTCTTCTTCTTTTGGTATATAATAAGAATCGCAAATTTTTATCGTATAAAAATTTCAAAATAGTGTGAATGGAGTCCGACTAATTCCATTCTCCGTAGGGCCGTGGGATCTAGAGATTGACATCAGACGGACAGACGAGACGAGATTAATTCAATTCAAGAAATTATCCTGATTCGATTGGTACAGTAAAAGGGGGGGGTTTATATTTCAGGTCGTGCTGGGTGTTGCAATATGTCCCTGTCCGACCATACATTTTAATAATAGCGTATTTCGATTCCGTTGGTCCCGAAGCGGCATAAAATTGCATTTCTTATTACAACTTGCAACTGTTGATGTTCAGTTTGTCAGAAAAAAGCGTAGTATGGAGCGAGGAGTAAACATTACCAGATATGGGCCAAAGGTTTTGAGACGTTTGACCACCATCTGAAAAATTAAGCGCATAATATAAGGTACATTTATAAAAGCATGGTAATGGCGGTACAATGCTGTGGAGTGGCGTGCGACTCATCCAGATTCCAATCTTCAGACGTTTGAGAAAATGTAATGGAACCATATAGTTTTCAAGAGCATTCGTCCGTGGGGCGAAGCACGCCAGTGTACTAGATTACATCAAAGGATCGCAAAATTTGCGACTTGTAGCTTAGACACAAGAATACAAGAGAGAGAAGCTTCGACTCCGAATCGATCGGCTTACTAAAAGACTAAAGTCTTAAGTGTTGTAGGCTACATGTAGAGCATATTCGTACAGGGAAGTGTTAGCTATTTATGTGTTTATGCCTTCATATCATATCGTTGATTAAACATTGCCTTTGAATATTATCCCTGATAATCTCAAAGCGACATTACAAGAGGTAGTAGCTAACGTCCTAAAAATAACAAAAGGAATCGCGCTCGTTACTTGAATATTGGCCATGAAATGCTGCTTTCCAAATGGGTACAGAGTTCGGTCACAATAGGGCAAATGCCCCTCGTCGTAAGTGGATGACTCCAATGACAAAATTGCTTACTCTCTCTCTGACCTGGTCACCGGTGTAAAATAAACACGTAACGATACGAAGGATAAAAATAAAACGGTAAACGCTTCTAAATGCTAATGAAATATACAAATGCAATACTGGCCATCAACTATTCCACATCACTGCGTCGAATACGAAGGTTTATTTATTTTCGTGATAAAATATCAAAAATTATATTTAGCTTCTGTATAAATACGAACTTTTGATTACAGTCCTCATGTGGAAACGGGACCAAGATGCAGACTGACGTGTTGAAAGTAGGATCGTCAAGTCTTTTTTTTTGGGCTATCCACGCAAACGACTTTGTTCCGCAAGTAGAGCACAATATAAGAATAGGAGGTTACTACCGTTCACATAAGAAATCGCTGAATCGCTGAATCTCACTAATGCAGATAGACGAGTTTCTACAAGAATACACATAATACGTAGATTAATAGCTCCCAGGACTAAGTAATAAAAAAACTTTTTTCTTCGTCAAATTTCCATTTCGTTGCCTTTCTTATAGAACAATTTGCCAAGACCACTTGCCACAGTCTCTACAATGAGCAAATCATTTTAATAAAATCTTCATCGTGGCTTCACCAAGAGAAATGCAAATCTCTGGAGCACTGGATTTAAAGAATTCAGCAACGAATTGCATTCAATGCAAGCCAAATAAGATTTCATTGAATAAGTAAAGATAGACTTGAATGACTAAGCCTATCGCCTTATTAGTTATGTTACGCTTTCGTAACAACACACTATGATTTTTGCTTTAACACTAGAACTACCAGATATGTCATTTGAGTTCTTTTCCATATCCGATTACTTATGAAGCATGTAATGTTCCGAAATGTTGTAATCATTTTTATTTGTATGGAAAAGTCAACCGCGAACGGGTCGAATTATGGATCAAGCGGGTGGCGATTATTTATACACCAAGGTTACCAACAACATATCTGCACAAAATTGAAAATTGTAGACGAAAATATAAAAAAAATGGTTGGTATTTTTGTGTTTTTTTTTTTTAAGTTGTTTTACTTTTTCATTCGCTGTGGCGCTTAGGTGGGCCTGTAAGCGGATCGCAACCATTTCTCTAACATTGAATTCTTAATTCGTCAAGGAATGTTTGTTTCGAATTCCAGCTTTCTATATGTGTGCAAAACATTAGTAGTTGTGGTGTTAAATAGTTACAACAGCTCTGCCAACATATGCTGTTAGTACCTGTAATACGGTGACGCATCTAAATCTTTGTATATTTTTTATTAAGACATTTTTTCCCGACTTAATTTTATATATTATTGTGATAATTACAATATTGATTACAAATATAATTGATCATATTTGCTGTTTATATTATAAGTCTTAGTTTTTTCCTGTGAAAATACAATGCAGGTATAGCAGCAGGCGTACCTGATAGCTGACTAATAAAGTTTTGAAGAAAAACGATAGTAAGTTTTTTTTATCTCAGAATAATATGTTGCTACTACTTTTACGTTGATCTCTCTTATAGGATCCATTGGTAATATTTACATTAATTTTTAGTTTCATGTCGGTTACAAGATGTAAGTTCTCGAGTTTTTAGGCTATGCCCGCCGATTCTTAATTTCATTTAATGTACATATCAAGTCTTACCTTTCTATTTCAATTTCAGAATGCCCGAAGCACACATTTTTTTTGTAGCTTCACCTGAATTGCTCTTCTCAATTGATAGGATATAAGTAAATAAAGAAGCCAATAGGTAGGTCAGTGCATATAAGCGCTTATTCTTTGATGAAATTTCATTGATAATTATTCATAAATTAGTAATTCGAATGCACGAATCCGCCTATGCGCAATAACTTTTTTTTTCATCAAAGTATTAAAGTCAATAAGCGAGGAGCGATAGTAATTTTTCATATTATTGAACAGAAAGGTGTCAATCTGAGCGAGTGATTCAAAGTGAGACAAAGACAGACCATAGCAACTAAATAATGTTATGAGGTAAACGATACTTATTTATTATGATTTTCATATTGTGACGCACAAAAATATGCATGGGACACAACACGCAATGAGTAAAGCCGCGGCTATAAGAGCTCAAGACTTTGCTTAGAAAAATAAATATTTGCCTCATATTTTTCCTCATCACTTTACACAGTTTAAGTTTGCAGTCAATTCACCTAAATCGATCAATTCGCAATTCCCTAATTCCATAATAACTAAAAACATATGATACTTTTTACTCTTTTTTTTTTTTTTTTTCCTTAAGTCGTTGATTTTCGTCGAGTCTTATATATACTTCCAGTTATGTAAATATGAGCTTTCGTTTCGAAAATTACTATAAGATATTGTCAGCTCGTATAGAAACATGAAATGAAATATATTTGGCGCATACACAATACGATTTTTCTTCCCACACAATCTTTGACATAACCTAGTAATAATAGTAGTAGTAGTAGTAGTAGTAGTAGTAGTAAGTAATCAACCATAAATTTCGCATAAAGTGCAAATTATAATAATTAAATAGAATTTGTGGCTATATTGGATGAACTTATTTCTGAATATTATTTTGCGAAAAATTAAAAATACATTGCTCGATGCTGTTAACAATTCGAAAAGGTAGAACTAAAACGCCTATTCGTTTGCATATGCTATCAACCGTGACAATCGTTTCGTTTTTTTCATAAATGTAATAACTACTGTTTTGATAAATGCTTGAAATTATTATTCAGTAAACTCAGTGTTCAGTTCAGTAAATTGAATAGCATTTTACATTTTACGACTTCATCATCATTCCTTAGTCTTACTATGATAAAAACAAAAGATTTCAGGTTTATTTTATTTCCTTTTTTTCTTTTTGTTGTTTTTGCTTAAACATCATCGCAATCAACTAAAAAAATACCAGGAATTTACACTCATTTCATTTCGATTTAATCAAATATTGTCGTTGACTCGATCACGGTTATGATTTGTCAATTTTATATGTATATGTATGCGTATATGTAAAATATATATATATACGCATATATATATATATGTATAGATAAATGCGGGAATGTATTGTTCTCACTTAACATTTTTAGTTAATTAGTCATTGCTATGTTGTTTGTTAGCATGCTTGCTAGGCAACAACAAAAGCGAAACCTTCAAAAAGTTAGTTTATTTAGTAAATGAACAATAAGAATAAGCAAAAAGGAAGTTACATTTGATTTCATATCAATTGCTTCCATCTTGTTCATTTTTCAATTCTGTATGTACCCTACCCGATTCGCGGTAAGAGTATGTCAACACCATGTGCGACCCCACATAACATTCGGAGAGATTTAAGTTAGACAAAATTGGTTTT